AGGGCGGTGTTGGCTTGGATGCTGCCTGGCATCGCAAACCCCCAGAAACCACTGAAACTCAACACTCCCGAGGCCTCTGATGGGAACCAGACGCCACTGCGCTAGCGCTACCGAGCTTGGCAAGGGCCACGTGCGCCGGAGTGTGTGAGGCGGCGGGAGCGAGCGAGGGGCCGCGGGTGTCACTGCGCGTTTAAAAACAAACGGGGAGAGAAGGTGGGGGACAGGCCGGCCAAGCTAGTGTACATTTGTCTCGGTCACCGTGCCCATTCTGGGAAGAGAAGGGAGTTCGGGTCAGGTGGGTGCCAGTAGAGGGGCAGGATTTAATTCAAACTTGGGCAGCTCTAGAAATGTTTTCCACCGAAGGGTCAGCAAAGGAAAATTACATGCATCATTTGTGGAGAAATGCCTCTAAACATGGAGAGCACATTCCTTTGAACACTCCTGTGGCACTTGATAGCTGTAGTTACTACCCACACAGATCTGCAACAAGCCAGAAGTTTTAGATATTAAATTGTCTGTATGTATCTAATTAAAAAAGACTATTTTTACAGACTTGAACACCATTCAACAATGCAGATTAGTTAAACCAAAAGGAGTTGATGAAGGGAAATCAGAACTGTATACCAAAGACAGGCAGAGCAGAGTCTATATAACAACATTCTAATGGTTCAAAATTAGTGTGTGTGAAAGAGAAATCTTCAAGGCAGTTATAAATGCATGACGGCAGAATAGCCTTTTTCCCTACACATAAAAGAATGTTCTGGTGAGTTTTTTCCTCCCCTCTTGCTATGAGTTTGTTTTATTCTTCATGTACCACAAAAATGGGAAGCATCTTTCTCAATGGTGATTTGATCTAAAGATTGTTTGTTCTGTTCCAGGTTTGGAAGCAATTTTGCCCATGATCAAAAGGTCTCAAATCCTTTCAAACCAAGCTCAAATACATGGAGGACTGCATGGCACTGCAGACTGATATTTAGTGTAATCAGTAGCTGGGCAAGAGGGTTCTTTCTCAGAGGCCTAATTCTCCCCAATGCAGCAGACCTGGGAGTGTGTCCAGTTCGTACGCAGGATGGCCAAATGCAAAAGAGATGGTGGCTTTCCACTTTTCATCAATCTTCAGCAAAATTACTGCTCCTACTTTCTGAATTTAACTTCCATCTAACATCCCTGTTTACAATCCTATCTGCAGACTCCACCATGTATGTCTAACTGTAACTCAGGATAACACTTCACGCATCCAGTGAAGTGGATGATATGTCCTAAAGCTTATGCCACAAAAGGATGCCACAAGACCCTTAGGATCTCAGCTGGTGATTCATGTGATAGAATACAGAAGGTTCTAGCCTAAACTTCTCCCAATAATAATAATAATAATAATAATGATGATGATAAATATTTTTGTACGAGAAATTCAGTCACATGGTCAGCTTGCATTCTTACATTTTGTTTTTGCTTCTATATAATTTAAATCCTGGAGATAAAAGTCTGTCCTTTGAAGCAGAATAATCCCACCAATTTGGGATTTCCTGGTAGTCTCCCATCCTAATTGTCACTGGGTCTAACCCTGCTTCCCTCTTTGGAAATTAACACTTTGGCTCCAGCCAGCATTACTCTTCTTGCTTTCATCTAAAAGTGGAACATTTCTTTAGATGTTCAGGATTGATAGGAATTGCGGTATTTTATTTCAGGTAGTGTTATTTGTTCTAGGCTTGCCATACGTTTCTTATTTTCAAGAGAGTGTTCTTTATTTAGTAATAGTACATTTTCATACATAATAGGAAACAGGTGGCTAGAATAATTTGTTTCCTCAACATCCAGCTCCATAACTTCATCTCTGTTCCAAGAATAGGAGCCCTATAGCTTCTATATTAAGGAGAGAGCATTTTCACCACCCAATCTTCCCTCCACCGCCCAAATGGCATTAGATCAGATCTCCATTTGTGGCCTTTTCAATCCCAGAAGGGGGAGAAAATGGTGAACCTGGATATGCTACAATCAGGTAGGTTCCAGAGGTAGTAGCCCCATTCATCTATTGCTAGCGAAACAACAAAGCGCATTGGGATGTACATACACGAAAGGTAGAAGGCAGAAATGTCAGTGGGAAGGCCAAAAATCCATGCATTTACATGAGTTCATATCTATGACATTTCTGGCTGGGTCTAATGGAAACTAGAGTCCAAACCTATTTGGATGGCCACAGATTCCCCAACCATGCTTTAGATTTCCAGAATCTTCTGGTTTGCATAATGCACTATTAAACTGCGGGCTAATACAGTATTAATTTCCAGGGTTCATCCGTTGCAGCAAAACCAATAAACAATCTTGAGGCAAAGGCCAACACATTTATTATGGTACATGATTTCATGAACTATAGCCCACTTCATCAGACACATGGGGCATTGTTAATCCGTCAGCAAAATATTCCATGCATTCAATGAAGCAGGCTGCAAAACTGGCCAGGGAATCGCATGAGGCCATGCATTAGCTAGTGTTGAAAAGGCTGCAGTTGGGGTGTGTGAGCTTTCATGTTTGCGAGAGAACGTGCAGAGAACCTGAAGGCAACAGTGGTGGGTGATCGGGATATTCCTGCGTGTAGGTGCGCATGCTGCCAGTGTGGGTGTGCAGGATACAAGCATTATACTGCTCAGCCTGCATGTGTGCAAAAATCACTTAAGGCATAATTCAAACCCAGGCTGCAGCAAATCTGCAGCCTTTGGGTAAGGAAGATAGAAATAGGCAGTTCAAACATCGTTGCACATTTGGGGATTCCTAAAAAATATACGAAAATAAGGGTGTTTTTTTTTTTAAGCTTTTTAAAAAAGGTGCCTGAACTAGGTGGAGGTGTCATATTTGGATGAGATCATCTTTCTTCCCTCTTATGCAGCTTGTGACAACACCCTGGATGAATTGCTTAAATACCTGCCCGTGGAGGGGCCCATTTCCCTCCTGTGTAAGTGGTGGGGAGGGGAGGGAATGGATTAAGCTAAATGGGTTCCTGCACAATCACACCGCCATCTGGTGCCCACACAGCAGAAGGACTGCTAAAAGTCACTTTCCCTAAATCAAGGTTCCTCTCACCAGTCTCAGTCTTCTGTCCAGAAAAACTCTGGAATAAAATCTGATCTCAGAAAGTCATGAATCCTCACCGCAGCGATTTAAGAGCAAGAAAGCAATGCTGATGACTCCCAGCTCTCCACTGCAGCCTGTTATTGACCAAACTACTTCCAGGATCAGAGTTTTGCTACCGAGCCAGCTCAAGCTTAACCACAACAGCTAGGTTTGCAAAACACATTGAACCCGAATTAGCAGAGCACATTTTAGGCTAGCGTGTTGTGCAATCCCAGCTCTGGTGTGCCCAGAAAGTTGGCTGAGTAAATCATGATTCAGCTAACCACTGGGAAGCATGTCATAGGAATACCTACAAGGGAGACTGAGAAGCACAAAAAAACAATCCAGTTTCTTTTTCTCTGACTGTGGAAGGAAAGGAGCAATAGATTAAAGCAGGCATGAGCTTCCTGGTGTCCAAGCCCTTATTGGATTCACAAATGTGAATGCACTGACCCAGTAAAAGTTATGCAGGGACCTGCAATGAGGCAGCTGGTCAGTTACTCCAAATATTATATGATTCTTTAATGCTGCAGCTTCTGTACACAATCTTTTTCTCAACTGCGCCTCCATGTTTCTGTAGGTTTCCTTTTTTCCTCCCAGCACTGGGATTGCCACATCTGCAGAGCTATAACTCCCATAACAGCCATGTTGCCCAGGATCATGGCAGCTGAAGTTGCACTCCTTGGGAAAGCGCCAAGTTGGGGAAGAGGGGACCATTCCCTTATCCAACTGTTTTCCTTTGCTATTATTTTGTCTGGGCCTTGATTCTCCCTTTCTTTGTGATGACTCTGCAGCCGTTTCCAGTTCCAGTGTTTATGTTGTAGGGTTGTGATTATGAGCCAAGCAATGAAGTCATCACGATTTAAGTGGTACAGCCCTCCTTGATGACCCAAGTATCAAAGGTCAAGCATGGAGGAGGCACATCCTTGGGAAAGTTATAACGATAGAACCTTGCAATTTCCCTCTGCAGAGAAAATAATTTTTAAATGTAACCTTTTTAGCTGCATTATGAAGCAATGCAATGCCAGAATTATGCCACATAGTTCTCCCAATGGAGTTATTTGCTTGGGCTCAGATTTGAAGGCAGTTATCTCAGGGCAATGCTACTTAACAGAATACAGTGTAATCCTGTGATTATATCAAGCAGTTGTGATAAAATTATTATAGATGATTGGGAAATCACTTTAATTCTATATTGCTATCAACCCTGCATTTTTTTTTTACTAAAAAAACTCTCTCTAATCACTGATGAAGGCAAATACTTCATGTGCCTTCTTTTCCCAATTGCTCTGTTTGGTTCCGAAAAATCAGAAATTACCTAAAAGGTTTTTTTTAAAAAAGCAATTGAACGTGACGATGCCCTGTAGCAGCGATTGGCTGATCTGCAGCAATGTCACAGAGAGCTAGACCATGCCAGTTTTTCCTTCCCTGTATTTCACGTTGAAGTTAGTGGGGGGAAATTGTATCAGCTCCAGAGTGGGCATAAGTTGGATTCCAATATAGGTGAGGTTGTATTGGAAATAGGGGGCTGTGGATCCAACAGTTCGATAGCTCCAGCCAGTGTAACCCTAGCCAACTACCAACATATCTTCTTTCTCTTCTTTTCTGATGTCGGACTTCCTGATGGCCAGCAGGATAGGATGAGAATGTCAGTATCACATTTCACCCATGGTCCTCGGATGGGGAAATTCAAACAATTCTATGATCCTTTGGAGGTTATCCAAAGGACCACATAATTGCAGGCTTCCATCAGCTTAAGAGTTCATTAACCCATTTTTTAACTTTTTGTATTAAACTGCTATGTAGTACTTTCTATCTAGAATACAGCAGTATCAAAAATCTAAAATGGGAATTTGTTCTCAAATGTGGCTTCTTAGCAGTGAACAACTGCCTGCCTAGATTTTGAAAATGCTATCCTACACCTTAAGTTCAAAGACCTCACTTCTGAAATTGGATTCCAGGCCTCAAACCCAGTTTTAACTTAGTGGCTTTAGAGCCAGAACATCAGGCCTTACAAGCTATGAATACCCCTACAGATCAACAAGACACTTCAGGGTTGGGAAAAGCAAAGTTTATTTCATGGAAGGTTGATACGACGACGGACAAGGTTTAGCTGAAGAGGTGAAAGGGCTAGAAATACTGCCGAAGATCTGGGGTGGCAAGAGCCAGATACCCCCACACAGAGCATCAGGAGCTCCATCAGTGGCTCAGCGGATCTGTGGGGGGAAGGGCAGAGTAGTTGTGTTATTCCTGCTCCAGACTAGTCTCCTTTCATCAGCAATTTGCTACCCCTGGTCCCTGGACAACCAGAGTGCTGGGATGCTCTCTGCCTCTAAGTGCTCTCCTTGCTTAGTTTAATATAGTGGCTTAAGATGATTATAGAACAGCAAAATTAGTAATAGAGAATGTGAAATGACCTCATAGACCACAGCAATAAACACAAGAGAAGAAATGATGCCAAATGACAAGGCCATGGGCTTGTGGGTTAAAAATCATCATTTTTGCTGGCGACTGGGGAAGTAATCTAGCAAGAAACCAAACCTGCGTAGTCACAAGCCATCAAATGAAAACAGTTGCAAAAGGAGCCTTGGCTGGTGCGCCAGTTGCATCCCTATTTGGAAATGGCCACAGTAACAGACACTTTTATCACCTCTAGACTGGATTACTGTAAGGTATTTCACATCAAGCTGCCTTTAAAGATGTTTCTCAAGCTATAACTGGTACAAATGGCAGCAGCCCACCTGCTGGAGGATGAGAGCTGTTACAACCACGTAACATTGGTTTTGTGGATGCTACATTGGCTACAATACATTTCTGGGTTCAGTCCAAAGCGCTGGGCTTAACCTACAAAGCCCTGTATGACTTGGCTCTGAGATATTTTCAGACCTGTGTCCAAGTTGAACCTGGCTGCTCTGTTCATTTTATCCTGGAGGGGAGCCTATGGATACCTTCTCTTTGGAAAGGTGGCCGGGGGCAGGAGGAAGGGAGGAGGCAGAATTTGGTGGCGGTCCCTCCCCACTCAGGTAGCTTCCAAGGGTCCAGATGTCACCTACTCTATCTGTTGAGAAAATGTTAAAACAGAGATGTTCTGTGTCGCTTTCAGGGACACAAGGGAGGGGGCAGAACAATTTGCTTCAGAGAGTTCCTAGCACTGTGTGTGCACTCAAATGGTTCAAATAGCTTATGGAAGCTGAAATGCAAAGCCTGAAGATTATGCTGTTTGTCTCCATGCCGGTTACTTAGAGCGCCATGAAGTTTCCATTCATCTTAAAGATGTGCCTCAAATCTCTATGAAACCTACCAGAATTTATGGCAAGAATGAGGAACTAGAACTGATCAATTGGTCAGAACCTGTCTCCCACCTGACTTGCTGGGCTGGCTGATTAGAGATGGTGGGCCTCTAAGGAAGAAATTATATCCTTTCTCAACAATTTCTACTCCCCCCCCCCGAAGGAAGCTGAGAGTGATGGTTCTCCATCTCTCCCTGCACAGAGATAGCAGAGCTAAACCTGTGTGCGCGCACACGCGCGCACACACTCTCACACACAAATCCTGCTGTTAGGAAGACCCAGCAACCCAAATGAAGTCCATGGGCTGGACATGCTCCTCCTGGTTTAATGTGTGTGGATCAGGATCTGCTCCACAGAACTGACTCCACAAGAGGCAAAGGACATACATGGGAAGCATTTGGCTGCACAGATCTCCAATTCATGTGAAGTGTAAGGACTGCAGTTCCTTCCATTTTTATAATGGTCAAAGATGATTGTAAGCTCCTCACATTTTGAAGAAAGAAATCTCATTAAATGAACTGATATCCTGTTGAACGAATCTGCTCTTCAGAAGGGGCTTTCCTTTCTTCTCTACCCAGGCAATGGAAACAATGTTTTATGCAAGCCAGGAGGTGAAAATTCTGCCAAATATGCAGTGCAAGTGGGAAGCATCGCACAATATTTCTTATACGGCACCCTTTCATTTAAGGATTAGACTGGTGCTGTGAGCATACATTTAAGAGCAAGGAAGAGGCCCCTTTTCTTTGACCTAGAAAAGCAAATGGCAGCAATCCAGTTATTATGCAAGCAGCTGCGGCATAGATTAGGCCTAATTTTCAAATCAATAAGAAATGCAGCTTTCTGCCAGAAATACATTGTCCACTTAGGCCTTGGTGTATTATTGTTTTACTACAGTGTTTAGAAGGGACATAATCCACTAGGACCACAGAATCCTCAAATTGGAAGCGGTCATTCGGGCTATCAAGCCCAACCCTCTGGCCAGTGCAGGAATCCACCGGGAAACATCCCAGATGGATGGCTTTCTAGCCTTCACTTGGACATATTCAATTAAGGGGACCCCACCCCCTTTCTGAGAAATGGTTCCACTATCGAACTGCTCTTACTGTTAGAAAGGTTTTTTTTATAACATTCACTCAACATCTGCCTTCCTGTAACTTCAACCCATTATTCCATGTCCTGCACTCAGGAATGGAGCAGGTCTTGACCTTCTTCTGTGTGACATCCTCTCAAGAATTTGAAGAGCCCTTTCAGAACTGGGCACCGCACTTGAGCTGGGCTCTGACCAATTGCTGGGATAAGGAAGACAATTTGTCATCTCCAGGTATTGTTAAACTATAGTGCACACCATCCTGATCCAAGGCCGTGCTGGCTGGGTCTGACTGCAATTAGATTCCATCATCCTTTGCCCTAAGAAATTCTCTTTTACAAGCCTCAGTAATGCCCTCAGGTTGTTTCTGTGTTTTTCAGTGGTGTGCAGGCAGGAGATTTTACCTGGATCTTTCTCACACTGAGAAACAATATATTTTGCATTATTAAATAACAGGGGAAAGAATGCATCAGTATGACCTCCTTAGAAACAGGTCAAGTTCTAGAGATAGAGAGATTGCAAAGAATGGTTTGTTGAGTTGGAAGGACATTCTGGGTAAAAGAAAGGGTGACGAGTTGGAAAGACTGCAAGTGAACTCAGTTGTCACTCTTTTTCACTCAGCACCCCTCTGAAATATAGGTGGAACAACAGTGGCTTGTCTTGCAGATATATTATACATGAATAGCCATGTATCCACAGGGTAATGTATGAAACAGCCATGCCTGCAAGCTTTTTGAATATTCACCAAAAATATGGATTTTTTTTTCTTTTAAAAAAGAGGTGTTTTAAAGTTTTAGCTTGTAGCTTGATTTGGAAGTAAGTCCACCACTGGCATATAACTTTTGAGAATAAAAGGACAGGCATTTATGCTCACATGACCATCCCCCAAATGTTCCCATCCTTTGGACACCATCCCACAACCCAGGAGAGGTCCCTTCCCTCCCTACCGTATACTTGTCCCACTTCTTCTCTGGATCATAAGGCTCCCATCGGCTCGCAGGGAAAATATGTTTGTTTTTCTCATACCAGCTGCGAAGTACAACTTTACCGGCATGGGACTGAAGAAGGGGGATGAGAGAGGAATCAGTGGAACTCAAGGCACCCGACAGATCACTTCCAATAATCTTCCCAATCAGCTCAGTTGGGACAACTGTTCCCAAAGAACCAATGAAAGATGACATAGAACACTCAAAACAGAGAAAGGAAAGAATTTGTCCAGCGCAGATATAATAGGAACAAATTCTTTCTGTTAGCTTGCCCACTAGCTGCTGGATCAATTAGGGTATAAACTATACCTTTCCCAGTTGGCTGGGAGTTATGGATACTTCTAGATAGCACAAGATTGGGGAAGGCATTTTTTTTAGTGGCAAGGGAAATGAAAAAAAGAAGTGTGTGTGTGGAGGTCAGTATGTGCCTGGATAAACAGAAAATAGGCAACTTAATATCAAAGACATCTGTGTTTCTTTTTTTCAGTTGGGTGGTCCTCTCAGCAGATGGGCTTGCAGAACCAAGGGATTCAGTGAGGCCAGAAAGTCACATCTCCTTTTCCTCACCTCATCTTTTTCCACCGTTGCATCACTCAAAAGCCGGACATCATCATGGACGTCGAAATTGAAGAGCGGCCCTGAATTGGGGAGGGCATGTATGAGGGAGGAGAGATTTAAGAACAAATGAGCTCCCACTTCAGGCCCTGAAGCTTTCTCTCTCCCTCCAGCCAGAATAAAAGTTCAGCCCAGTTGCCTGCCCTAATAACAGCCACCTTAGCCCCCCTGCTGACCTCCGAGAAGGCATCAATGGGAGGAGGACAAGAGCTGGAAAGGAAGGAGGCGCAACAGAAGACACTCACCGCTTTTCCCCCGGGCCTTGGTGACAATGAAATCATAGAAGCTGTGATGCTGGATGGGCAGGAAGAAAAGGGTTGAAGAATCATCACAAAAAGATCCTCCCAACCAACCCTGAGCAAGCCACCTGATCAATTCACTACACTGGAGGGCAGAAGGCAGCCACTCCGACAAGCACTGAAAGAAGGGCCACAGCCACCAAAAGGAATTGTAATAATAGTGTTTGGCCTGATACTCTAAGCAGAGTGGTGAGACACCATCCTTTTTTTTTTCCTTCCCCCAAGCAAAACTTCAACTGTCTTGTTTTTTTCCAGCAAAGCACTGGCCTTAGCCTATTTCATTCTGGATACCTGTTGGGTAGGTGGCTCTCTCTCTCTTGAAGTACACTGTTCCTAAAGCGGGCATGGAGCTTTCTTAATTGGAAGCATGAGCATGGGTGCTTGGGGAACTCCTAATTGGTCCCAAAGGCAGTGGGGATTGGGGTTAGCAAAACTATAAAATCTGCAGTGGCAAAAAGATATAGATTGAGAGGCAGAGTTTGGTTTTCCCTATGATATAAGACGCTGTGGAAGTGTTCAGGCTCACGGGTGGGCTACAAAGCTTTCATTAAATGAACAAGCAAACATTGACCATGGGCTGCCTTAAATGGAACCCTCCCTTCTGCACTCATCCCCTGCCTGAGATTGAATCACTTTTGTGTACTAGAGGAGGGCTCCAATCTCTTCCTCTTGCAGCTGGGTAATTGGATATATTGATTCGGAACTTCTAGATCACTGCGATATTGAGAGCACCTCTTAAATCTCTGGGGCATAAGGGTAAAGTAGGGGAGCACCGAGGGGAGTGCAGGTGGCAGAATGGGCCAGAGCCCTCCACTTACGTGTGGGATGATGAGATCCTCCTTGATGTACATAAGCTGCTCCACACCAGCTGACCTGCAGGGAAAAATGCACACTTAGCATCTCAGTCTACCCAGAGATGCACCAAATGTTTTGTGCCCAGGCCGCCCCATGCACAGAACAGATAACATGTGGCCCATGCCCAGATCAAAACACACCTGTACTAGGTAGACGTGTTCCAGGGTGGGTGACAGTGGGGAAAATGCAAAGCCATTGGGGGTGGTGTGTGTTGGCAGCAGCAGCTAAGCAAAGATAGGGGCTAGGAAGGTGCTGGGGTGCGCAGGCTGGTGGAGTGTGCCGCACTTTCAAGGGCAGCAATGGGATGTTAAGGGCAAAGCCAGCACTAGCAATATGGGGATGAGGGAGGAGCTGATGGGCTGATCAGGGAGAGGGATGGGTGGGTTGGTCAGGTAGGAGAGCTATGGGGAATGAAGGAATGGGGAAGATCAGGAAGACAGGTGTAAGGATCGGTCAGGCATGCCACACTGCTATTCGAGCACTGCTGACTTAGCGAGCTGTCATTAAGGAGGGCAGACGAGGCCAGCAAAGAGGACGGGAGAGAGACAAGGCATATCAGCCTTGCCCTACCCAGCCATAAAACACCTCTGGGTTTTTCTTGGACAAAACTCTGGACAAGAAAATCTTCTGGGTTTCAACTCAGCCAGGCTGGAAGCCATTTGAATGGTCTGGCTGAACTTCCAAGTCACAAGACATTTTCTGACTTGTGTACACCTGAGTCTCCTCCCTTGGAAAGGAAGATGTGTAAACATGTGCTCCTCCTGAGGTCTGCAAACTTTTCCAATGCACATCTGTCAGTTGTGTTACAAGTTAGCGCTGCTGATTCTCACTTACCTTCTATATTATGTATTGGCCTTCATATTGCATGCTTCATGTAGTAACCTTCTGGATTAAAAAACTTTTCTCACATTGCAGTCAAGTAGCTGAGGCTGGTACCTTAAGTTGGCACAAGGCCAGGATCTGGTCTACCAGGGCTAACTCCAATATTCACCAGAAGGTAAAAACTTGCATTCTCAAATGAATGCAGCATAAGGGAAATAGATATGCAGTTATGATGTCCTACCAGTCACCTCCTCCTCACCCAGCTGCATAGAAAGTAAAACTCCGCAAAGTCCTTTACCGAAGCTCACTGAAGTCCTTGCGCAAGATCTCCAGAGCCTTTTGCAGGAACTGCTGAATGGTGTTGCCCTTTTTCATCTACACTGAGGGAAAATAAGAGTCAGTTGGGAATGGATTTCTCTCAGACACCCCTAAAACTAAAACCACACACTGCTCTCTGCAGAATCATCAAAGATTACATGTGTATGTATATATCTCAGTTTACTCCATTTACCTTTCACCCAAGAAACTCAAGATAATCTGTCTTCCATCCTCATCTCAACAAACACTTGATCATCATACACTAACTCTGGCTAGCCTAAGAATAGTGACTCCTCCATGCTGCAACTTTCACGCCTAGGTTGGGGAGTGGAACTTGGAACATTCCAGAACTAGTCTGACACTCTAAACACTTAGCCAACTTGTGAATAATTTCTCTGTCTCCCACTCCTACATGTTTATATAAAAGATTTAGAAGCCTGGCCTTTAACTGAAAGATTAGTCAATTAAAGCTTTACCAGATTTTGTCAGGGTGATTTTTCTTTGGAGGGGTTGTAGATTAAAGGGAACAACTATTTATATGGGGGATTTTTTTTTTAGTCTTGGTGGGAAAACAAAAATGACAAAAGAAACATGTTTCTTTTCGTGCCCTGTGAGTATCTGAGGTTACAGTATTGCTGGAGGGAAATCATTGTGGACCTGACCACCCTTATGACAAGAGACAACTGGGAACCACATTTAAGTACAGCGTATCATTTTTTAAAATATCCATGATGCACATCCTGTTCCTGTTTTGAATTAAGAACAAACAAAGCCTAACACTTGTCTTGGAGTGCTAAAGAGTCATGAGGTAGTAGTGTGCATCAGCCATTTTGAGAAGCTGGTCCAGGACACAGAATACCTAGAGATGGTCACACCATAAAAGTCAGGGTACTGAATGGAAGAAGCCAACAACCTGAGTCTTGTATCCCAGACACAAGCTTAAGCCACCCATTGGTTTTCCAAAGAATCCAACTAGGCTGGGAGCAAAGCTCACCTTCACTGTTCGGCGGTGCCCAGAGCCATCCCAGTAACTGAATGTGATTTCAATTTCTTCACCTGGCCAAAGACAAAAGAAAGAAAAGAATTAAAAGCACAGCAGACTCCTCTCTTTACAAACAATTGTAACTGTCACCCTTCCGCTTGGAAGGCATGCCAGACCAGCTTCATGTTCCATCACTCACTCTTGATTTTTTCTTGTTTGGCCTCCCACTCTTGGCGAAGCTCTTCTCGCAAGCGGTTTTCTTCTTCCTGAAATCCAGGATGTGGAAAAGAAAAGGATTAAGGAATCTGTGACCCTCAAGATTTTGGTGAACTATAACTCTCAGCATCCATTACTCTTGACTATGACAGCTGTGGCTTCTGGGAGTTAATCAGCACCACCTGCAGGACAAGTAATTACCATACCTCACGGTCACGGTCAGGGAGGAAGCTAGTGTCCACATCTGGGTTCTTCCCAAGTTTCTTCTTTTTTGGAGGCAACTCTGAGGAAAACAGGAGAATCAGGTATGAATGAAGAGCTTCTTCAAAACAATCATTGTCTTCCACCTCCTTGAACTCAACAATCATTGTCCTCCATCTCCCTTCTACACTACTGCTATCATATCACATCAGGCCTAGTTTGGCTCCATTTTCTGCAACACAGCCAGACCACTATTCCTCACCTTCTTGCTCCAATTCTGCTTCCTCATCTTCTTCCTCGGCTCCATCATCTTCCTCCTCCTCATCCAGAGTGAAGGATAAGCTTGAGATCTTACGTTTTTGTTCCTGCTTGCGTTCCCGCTCCCGCATCCGCTCCAACTTTCTATGAGAAGGAGACAAAAAATCATTTTGGCGTGAGATACACACTTGAGGGATCTCTTTAAAGATCTCTGAGAAAGGTTGGTGAAATCCTTTTAAAACATTTTAAGGTAGTTTAGTTCACTAGGGTGTTAATGAAAAAAACATTAAGACTACTGAAGCAAAAAGAAAAGAACAGCTGATTCTGAATGTCAGCCACATTTCTTAAAAGAAGGGACCTTTTTTAAAGAACTGTTATCCTATTCAAAAGGACAGTATAGTTGGTCACAATGACAATGACAGAAAAATGGCTTTTTCAAGTAGTGACTTATCACTACTGATAGTATTCAAACAGCTTATCTGTTGGACAAATCATGCAACTGTTATATTCTGCTCCAGATTTGAGTAAGTCATTCTCAAATAGTTGAAATTTTCCCACATTTAGGAAACTGCTATTTGATGAAGTGTTTCCTTATTCTATTAATTAAAATTCAGTTCTTATTATAACACTTTAATAAACCAAATTACAACCGAAGGGAAAATATACAGAAAGGACAGATAAGAGTTCAAAATTATTCTTATAACTTTAAAAAAAGATGAACAAATACATTAAAGAAAAACAAATTTTAAAAAAGTCTCCTATCATGAAATGTATCTGTTCTAAATTTAATGAAGAGTAAAATATTGCCTAGAGACTTTGTAGCTGATGTAAGAATAGCACATTAGATAAAACAGAAGATCTGCCTACTCTAACAATTTAATTTTGAACTCTAGTCAGATATCCCTGCGATGTTCACAGGAAAAGCAGGAAGGCAAATACATAATCCTTGTCGGTTTGTCTCTGGAGTTTCTTTGGTTATTCTGTTACTTAGTGAAATCCTTTTAAAACATTTTAAGGTAGTTTAATTCACTAGGGTGTAAGTTCCATAAGTTTGCAGGCACTGCATGAAGAAGGATATTTTTTTTGCATGTCCTAAACCTATTTCTGATCGTACTTCTTGAGTGACCACATCTTCTCTATCACAAAAAAGTAGTTTTATCAAATAGGTAAACTGGTGCCCTCCAGATGTTTTGAACTTCGGCTCCAATTAGTCCAAGTCAGCACACTCAATATCAAGGGATTATGTAAGATGTGGATCCAAAGAGCTAAAAGATACAAGGTTACCCATTCCCGAATAACAGAAGATATTCTCCAAGTCATCCTGCCCAGAATTCCATGCACACACCCACAACTTACAGTTGTAATTCTTTGGACTGTTCCTTTTTTGCCAGTTGCTTCTCCCGTTCCTTTACAAGAGCTTCTTGCTTAGCCTTCATGTCATTGAGGGTCACCAAACCTATTGGAAGAAACTCTGCTGGAAATAGGCCCAAACACTATGCAGGAGAGAAGGTAATTCGTGCAAGCTAAGGAATGGAGGCCAGGGCTTGGGGTCCTCTTCCTAAAACTTAGGTCTCTCTTTAACTACATCCACACTCACCAACAGTGCTAGATTTCAGCTCGGCTTCTACTGCATCGTAATGGGCAGAGAATTTCTTATCAATGTTTGACTTCATGATGTTCTCCTGTCATGGGCAAAGAACAGATCAGCCAGAAGAAGTTGTAGACCCTGATGATGTTTCAGTTCCCATTTCTGACCTGTATTTTTGGACTCAATCTAGTAAAAAATGCAACTGTCTAAGGGAGACCACACAGGGATTTCAACGCATCTGCTGCATTTAGGCAAACCTCACTGATATCAGTAGTTTCATTTTCCCCAAGGGAAGGGGATTACAGAGTAGATTACATAATTTTTCTAAACTTCAATTAGCAAGGTAAGATAAAGAAACATGTTTCTTCTCATCAAGGATAAATGTTTATTTGGTGATCGTTAAATTCTCAAGTAGAGCATATGGTTGCATATTATATCGGATTGCGTGATAAAAAACCAACAAAGATGAGGTGCTGCTTATGAAAACTGGCAAATCTTCAAGAATTGGCAATCAGGATAAGAGATATTACATGAGCTACAGGTTTGGTAACATTAGTGTCAAATAGGGGGATTTGTTATTGCATTTGGGAGAAACATGTGTCTGGCTGAGTATATCCCAGGACAAACCAGTTGGAAAGCAATTATACAGTGAATTTCTGTACTAACAGGGAATACAAGGGAGCAAGCAAAGTGAGCTCAACGCTGACAGAAGCAGCAGAATTATCTGTCATTATCAGAACTAGGTGGGAAAGTTCACAAGATTGAAATATCACTGTGGCAGAACTTATTACAAACAGATAAGTAAAAAAAAAGAGTCTTTATTTCAGAAAAATAAACATTCACCCAGATCCTGATATAAGAGAATGTCAAATCTGTGAATGGTCAGTACGATACCTGCTACAGACCTGCAAATTAATCAAAGGAAATGGGTGAGATGTTCTGAATTAGCTTGTTCCAAAGAGATTGTAGAATTTAAGCTTTTCTGCTTATAATGAAAATTCTTTTCTGATTAGTCATTTAGATTAAAGTAAAATGTAAACCTACATGCCAGATTTATAACTTTAAATCCCACAACGCAGAAGAGGAAAACATCTGTGTCTTAATCCTAAGCATGAGGCACACTTACAATTCTGCATAAAACAGCAGCATAACACAGCAGACTATACAGGGACAGGTGTCAGCACAGGCAAAAGTAGAAAAAAACCCATTTCTTCTGATGCATTAGGAGATTTAAAAGATATAAGTCTAATACACAAATAATAAAATAGTAAGTTTATATGCAAGGTAATAATAAAGGTCTACTGCAGAGTTTTTTCTAAATTTCCTACATCTCTCATGCTTATCGAAAATGAAACAAATACAGTCTATTCAAGAGTGCATTTGAGACTATTTTTCTCTTTCAGAAAGTCAATGAAATGATGAGAGGCTAACTAGAAAAGTTTAAGCTTGCTCTGCTATAGCAAAACCATCTGAAAATGGTAAATGACTTGGGCAGATATGAGTATGCTAGACATGATTTTTCAAATAAAGAAGAAAATGGGCAGCAATATACACATTCTAGAGACTTCAGTAAATATAGTAAAAAAATCCTTAAATGCTAGGTGACAAAAGGCATTCAGGAAGATGAGCAGTTTCTTAAAGTGACATTAAGAATTGCTTTGCAAAAAAATAAATAGGAAAAAATCATAGGAGGAGATTGCATTTGCAAAATGACTTGGACAATCTAATAAGGACAAGAAAGGTAAGTATCTGAAGAAGAAAAAGTATGTTCTAGAACAACTATATCATACTAAAATCAGAAACATAATGATCAGCTTAAATCCTGGTGTGCTGCATTCCCTGTATTCATTATTTGAACGTAACACCAAGTATTTGATAGCATATCTGCTTGATTTTAAAACATTTCTCTTTAGTTTTTTATTCTGCACGATGAACCTTACACATATATGTATGGATGACAGAAAAACAAGGCAAAGGTACTAAAACACCTTGTTTTTAAAACACGTACATTTGTTTTAGAAATATATTCATGACTGACAGTGGCAGCTTTTGCCCCTGCTTCTTTGACAATGAGGAAAAGAACATTTCCTCTATTGCCTTCTCTCCCATTCCTTCACTTAAAACCTCCACTCTTGTCTGAACGATTCTGAACAGCGCTCATGGAAATATCAACCCTGTGTTCCTTAACATCAGCATTATCTCCTGTAAGAATTCAAAAACGAATCTCTCAGCGGCTTCTACTTCTCATCACCTCAGCAATGCGTTGCCTCATTTGTTCCATATGCTCACGTTGCCTCTCTCTCTTCTTCATCAACTGAAGGGCCCGGCCAGCTTCGCTGGCAGCTCCTTTGTATTGTGCCATGGTCGTCGATGAACCTGTGAGACACAAATCACATACATGAAGCTGCTGTGTACGTACTGCCTTCTCTGACAAGCAGCATCTGTCCAGAAACTACCAGTCTTACCCCTTACGATCCCTCTAATTGATGCTGCGCAAAAGGTCAAGCCCGGGACCGCGTGTCTGTAAGGCAGATGATCTACCACCGATCATCAGTGGTAATCGTAAAGACAACCCACAACGAAAGAAAGAGATCCAAAGACTGGAAGACAAGAGGGCACTAGGGAAACAGGGAAGACATGGGACATGATGTAGGATTTCTAGATCTGGCATGAGAAATAGTGAAACAAAAACGGAACCCGATACAGAGAGATCGCTGGGATCCTTGCCTGATCAAAAAACCGAGGAATTTCTTTTTTCTCCAAATACTCAGAAAAACCTTCCTCCAACCGCAAATCCCACCAGCTGCGTCACCCACGTCATTCGCACGCGCCAGGGCAGAACTGAACTCTGACCTCCTTCTTCCTACTTTCCCACGACCAGCGATATACGGAACAAAACTCAGAAACTCAATGGATACACAGCCGGAATTTCCGGTAGAAACGGATTGTTGCCATTGGCTATGAATGTTTATAGGCATAGGGCCGCTCTAGGCCTTGACACTCCATGATAAGGCAACTTCTATATTTGCCCAGGCGGGCTTGTCTCAGCCGAGCGTAGTTCGCTGCGGGAGGTGGCGGCTTCGGGGGTCGGGAAGGTCCTAGTTTGCTTGTTGCCGTTTTCAATCATTAGCTTGCGGACAAGGTCTTGTTTCCTTTTCTACCGTGAAGGAGTGCTTCGCCCACCCTGGTCACCCAGTCACTGCTTCTTTATCGTTATTCATAATTATATGCATAATACCTCAGCCTTTCCGAGTAGCGCGGCAAACACTTTTTCAACTAGCGCAGCTTCTGCGTGGATGGGAAACTGAATCTACGCGGTATATCTGTCACTCAGCTTTCACAAGCCCCTCTCCAGGTCCATGTGCCTGCTTTCTGGGTTGGGGGCAGAAGCTCGGCAATCCTTTGTGTGAAACTCTGTTATGAAAGGGGTCCCGCCGCGGAATCGGCGTCGCTCGCTTTCCGGAAAACTGCGCTTCAAAAACGTTGCCACGAAACGAGCCCTTTAACCGTTTTGCTTCAAGCGTGATCATCGGCTACTTTGTGCGCTATGATAAGTCATTATATGTTTATTAAATATGGTTTAGCACAGTGTTGTCCAAACTTGGCCACTTTAAGATGAGTGGACTTCAACTCCCAGAATTCCCCA